GTTTGAATATGTATAACATAATTTTGTTGATATGTAGCTGAACCCTTATAATCCGATACATCCTTGAATTTGGGCGTATCCGTTCTCATAGCGAAGTTCCTGTGAAGTTAGGCCTGACTTCCACTCCACTTAAATGTCCAATCGTCGACGACTTTTTTTTAAATATCTGGTTTTTTAGGGACCGCGCTGAAGATAAAGGGCTGTCCAGAGACGTAGAACCATCTACCTTTATTCACAAAGTTAATTACTGTTCAATCTTCACGATGAAGCTTCTATAATTAGTTACAGCTATAACATAAATTGCATTTAAATATATTATCGAAAAGTACGTAATCTGCAATGAGTATTAGAGTAAATTTTAATTTAACGTCCACAATGAATATTAGAACACATTTGAATTTCGGGATGTGTAAAACTACATTTTATACAAGCATAACGTAGATTAATTGTTACTTGTATTTGATAATATGAAAAAACTCTTTTCATAATGAATTTTTCAAAATTTATGTATACACATATTTTAAAATATGAAAGTTACATTTGATTTTATTCATATGTGCTTTATTTGCTCGTTGTAAGCATTAACATATTAATCTCTAACATAATGTTAACACACACACACACACACACACACACACATATATATATTGAATGTCTTTATTTTTAAAATTTACTTAATATTTAATTAATATTATAATAGAATCATCAGTCGAATTTCTTTATTACAAATAGGAAATCTGTTTGTCGAACAAATCTTTTCTTAGATTGACTGTCTTTGCGGTCAGCCGAGAAATACTGCAAAGACAATATCAGTTATTATTATTATGTGATTGAATTAAGAATGAAAACGAAATTGAATTCTATGTTGCGCTATCGGAAGCAATTCGATCGTTTGTAGGAAGTCATTTCGCTTCCTTATACTTTCTAAGAAGGCTCGTTGAATTATTATTATACTTTCATTTATCTTCCTTACTGCCCCTATTTTTCTACGCGATAATCATCTTGAAGCTTATTAAGGGGATGTCACGCAATAAAAATTAATGACTATTAAAATAAAGTGTAATAATCATTTGATGAATTATTTTACAAGTATTTAATATATTTTAAAGATTACTACAACTATTAACAAATAAATATATTTTAAATTAAATTTTTTTATGTTTCTTAATATATAAATTTTGTATAAAATTATATGACTATATAATTATTTGTTGCATATAATAAGATCCTTATTACATGCAATAATTATGTAACATATAATCTTATTACTTTAATAAGAATAATATTAACCTTCTGCATGAAGCCCTTTTATTACGAGTAGTTGTGTTCACCTAACAAAAGAACGACTCGCTAATTTCTTCGCTACACGCAAATCTTTGTCAACCGTATGGCGAGCCACGCATCAAAGTCCAAACAGGATACGAAGGATTGAGCCTCGTTAGAAGCTCGTCCGCAATCACCAAATCGGAGCTGACGATTTCGGCGTCCCATGATACTCATTCTATTTTTATTCGACGATTCGGTCCTTCACTGCTCGATGCTTAGAATTTCTAAATTTAATGTCTGAAAACCAGCAATGTTATAATACGAATAAATACAGATTTGGGGAGAGGAAATTTGAAACTCGCAATTGAAAAATGTAGCAAACACAATTGTAGAAATACTATTTTTCTAGCCTTGCATACAATGAAATAATACATGATTAGAATTGTCAACGAGAGTTTTGTCCATTTTTTCGCTAGGATGGCAATCGTTTACAATTGATTTCCTTCAGAAATTAGATGGTATTTGGAGGTATTTGGACACCTTGACGACTTGATTGTAATCTTTTCTATACGTTGGGATCTTTTCTTATGAGAAATTCCATTTTCACGAAGTTGAAGGAAGGGGAAGACTGTTCAAAGAGAACAAGAACGACGATCAAAGAAATGAGGAAAAGAGGGTGGGACTGATGGTTGTATGGCATGGCAGCCTGGCCAGTCGATTACGGTGCCGAAACGAGTGCTGGAGCTCCAACCAGTTTTGGACAGTGTCTTCACTTGTGGCTATAAAGAGAAGGATGGAGTACCCTGGTAGAATCACGAAGGAAATATGCCGTCCACGCGATGGAGAAAGCGAGAACTAAGGAGAACGGCCGCGAAGAAGAGGTTTAGAAGAGGGAAGTGCAAGGCTGGAGAGTGAAAAGAGCGATAAAGGAAGCATGACTATCTATGAAGAAAAGAAGAGGAAAGGGAGATGGAGCGGGAAGCGAAGGATGGATCGAGATAGTGAAATGTCTAAAGATGAAGAGAGCGTAAAGCGAAGAACAAAGAGGAAAGTAGTCTCAGAGGAAAATGCGAGATACGGAACAGAAAGGAAATAGCGAAATATGCTGAAGAAGTAAATGAATGACAGCAGAGACGATGGGAAGAAATATTATAAACAATGTTTAATTAAAAGTAAATGCAACTGAAATCATGGCGTGTCTTCTATCTTTCTATTATGGTCTATAAAGTGAAGATATGGAAGCTGATCTAAGAAGGAAACGCGACTGATTGAGGTAGGGAACTCAACTGGTGACCAAGATAGAGATGGAAAGGGAAGAAATGGAGGAAAGCAAAGGAAACACCTTGATGTTGCTGAGAGAGGAAGGAGAATGTCGTACCGAGGAAGACTAACATCACCAAGAAGATGAGGAATAAGAAGAAGATGAAGAAGAAGAAGAAGAAGAAGAAGAGCCGATGGACGCGGTCGTCGTGAGTTTGAGTTTCGGTTTCGTTCGTTTCGCGCCTGCTCTGCGCGAACGGGAGTTGAGAGTGAACCTGTTCAGCGATGAGGTAGACGAAGAGAGACTGAATCGGAGTGAGAATGACGGAGATCGACGACACGACCCAACCGCGAATGCGTCAACGACAAAGAGAGACAGATTCTCTCATAAGAGCGGAACGGAACGAGATGGAAGGAGAGAGAGAATGAGAGAGACAGAGAGAGAGAGAGAGAGAGAGAGAGAGAGAGAAGAAATGATTCGCACGAGGGAGAAAGGGAGATCGACAGGGGGGACGTGATAGTACACGCGTGAGGGAGATAGCGTCAGACAGGGGAGAGTAAGAGAGGCATAATAAAGAGAGAAAGAGGAGGGCAGACTTGAGGCGCTCTGCTCCCAATAACGACTCTCGCCCTCGGTCAGTCGCGCGCGAACTGCGGAGTCGCGAACATCTCTCCGTTTCTTTAGCTCCGCCAAGGAAGATTACGCGTTTACTTGAATTTGGCAATCGCGCTAACTGAGCTAAACTGGCTATGCGATATATAGGAAGAAGGAAGAAAAAGTGAAGGTACCGGTACGACGAGAAAATTCACTTGGTCCCAGGAAGGTACCTTTAATGATCGAGGTGGAGCGAGAAACCGAGTCCATGAAATTTCTCGTCATCTAACGTGAATAAGAATCGAGGAAAGACAGTGAAAACAGTGGTAGTCCGCGAGATCTAGGAAAATCAACTCCTGTGCTCCAAAAGTTGGTCCTCTCTATTCAGTTGGTTTTACGCAAAGTTGTCACAGGATATTGACGAACGACTGACGTGTGCGAGAAGCTATCAGAAGTGGAATGCTGTAGGGTAATCATTATTATTTGCCGGGGAGTCGCTTAGGAGAATCGTTCACGTGAATTTCAGCAGGAATGCTGAAATACCGTGAATACGGTGTGATTTGAAGCGAAAACGAACTCTGAATAGTCTTTATCGATCGGCTTCGGGAAAAGTGATGAGTTGTCGCCTTTCTGTTTCGGCGTGGGAGATAACGTGCTAGGTTCTCTAGAAATCATGACTTTCACGCCAGTATATCGGAGATCAGCACGATCGGTCAAGTAGCTGCAAAGCACGCTTGCAGTGGCACTTATTTCGTAGATCTCAACATCTCTAAATAACGTACAGGCCGTCATTTGCGAAACTTGTTTATTATTACCACTTAGGTTCGATAACTTTCTGAAAACATTCAGCGTCGTCGTTAACTTTTGATAACACCTCTGTGCTCATTACAATCCGCCAGTTTTGTAATCGTCAATTTAATTGGTCCCTCAAGAAACTCGTAGTGCGCCTTGATAAGGTCACTCGAAAGTCGCCCGATCCAGCAGCTCCGCCAGACATCGGCATCGATTCCTCGACTGGAAAGAGCGATTCCGAAGAGCCCCGATAATCCCACCATGATGCGCCAAGTGCCGTGCACTCCGAGATAAGACGATCTGTGCGAAACGGAGAGGCTGGCATCGGCGTGGCGTCGACGACGACGACGACGACGACGACGACGGCGACCTCGGCGGTAGCGGAGGAAGCGGCGGGCGGCGAGGAGAAGACGGAGAATCGATGGATCTGTAATGCGTGCAAAGTGCGATCGGCGTGCACGACGACACGAATACCCAGATATCAGAGATCGGGTAGCGGGCGAGGGAGTGGTGGCGGAAGGGAGGTTGATGAGGAGGAGCGGACCGGAGAGGCGGACGAATAGGGACGAATGAGTACTTTCGAGCCTTTTCTAAGGCTATCTCTCAGGGGGGAGGGAGGGGAGGGAGAACACATTGGGACGTATTGTCAGCGACGTATCGCCATCGACGAAGACGTAATCTCGTTGGGCGTGGAGTTGTACACTGTACGACTGGTGACCGAGTGAGAGAAGAACGGAAAGGACGGCAACGACGATAGAGGCTGGCTTCTCTATACCACTGTTCGAGTATACTATATAAAAGCAAGAAGGACTGACGACGAAGAGGAAACGAGCAGGGACGTAGAGCCGCGTAGCGTGCCGTGTATATGAGTGTCGAGAGCTGGTACGCCGAGGAAGCAGCAACGCGCCAGCAACGCGCCAGCAACACGGAGGACGCACGCGGAGCTATTGCTATTTTCGAGCCCGCCAAATATCTCGCCACACTCTGCGGTGCTGCTGGCTCAGGCTGGTCGAGGCTGCGCTGCGCGCTGCGAGTTTCTCTCGCGCCTCTTCTTCCCGTCCTGCTTTTCTTTCCACCCGGTCGATTCCCCTTCGCGGGCTGGCGGCCGATTTTGCGCCGATGACGCATGGCACCGACCAAAAGCGCCGCGACGTGTGACAGGTAGGAGCTGCAATTCCTTCTTTTTCTTTCTGGTTTCCTCCCGACCCTGGTCGCGTGTGACCGTGAGTGCAATGGCTCGTGAGATTCGAGTATATACAGGGGTTGCAAAGCGTGTTCGGGGGATGCGCCCTTTCGAAGGGCAGATCAAGACTTGACCGTGAGAAACGCATTGTGCACTTGACTTACCGTGTCCGGGATCGGCATCGCTTTTAACATAACTCTTTATGTTCGCTCCGTATAACTTGGAATCACCTGCAGCACGTAATCTGATGTCTGCGAACATTTTATTTTCATTGCATGAGTAATTTCGATTAAAAATAATTTTGCAGTGTCATTGTTTTGACGAAACGATCTCCGATCTGCGTGGCTCCAACTCCTGCTACCCGCTCGGAGTTCGCCTACGAATATCGAGATTATTTTTACACGTGTCTCGCATACTGCGTCACTGGTATTTTGCGGTGTTATGCTTTCTGGTACACACTCCACCTCGTGCATTAAATATCGCTTGTAACGAGGAGCGCGGTTGCATTAGGAATTGTTATTTGTAACAATTAGATAACGGAGAATTGCAAATTCAAAGTTGAAAGTTATCCTCATCGATTATATTATCGATATCTAGCAGCCTTCACGGCTGCGTCATTCTGTCACAATAACGCATTGAAGCACAACATTTTTACTAATTGTGACTACCCTCGACAATAATCTTAATGGATTACAACGTTCACGCGGTATGAATAATTTAGCAATCTAACATTATATTTTTAGAAAATTATTGATCAAAAGAATCTCGAAAGAAAAAATCGAAGTAAAATTATTACAAAATTCACTTTTGATAAATTACGAAAGTAAATTCCAAATTATACGGTGATAAATATAAAACGATAAATGTGAAGCCATTAAAAAATTACCTGCAAAGTTTATAATAAATATTGATGTACGTATGAATATTAATTTGCCTTTTAATTTGTTAACTAATTAGATTTATCGCGACTGATAAAAAATGCTTCATAATTTTTGATATCGTATAAAGTGAGATATTTTTATCGATAAGCGGAGGAGATATAATGTATTCGGAGTGTTATCATGCATTCCCATTGCACCGCTCGACGAAGTGGCGTTTTGCAGCAGGTTTTATCCCGTCGGCTCATCGAAGACAGCCCGCAGAAATTCTGTGTTTTTTTCTCTCTCGCATAGCGAATGGCGCATGGACCGGACGTCGTTTGCCGATCACGTCTGCCACCCAGGCTGAATTATACGCGAAGGGATCAAATTCGAGACTGCGCGACGCGACGCGACGCGACGCGATCGCTCGGGGGACCTTCGAAAATCCTCGGAAACGTGAGCTGCTGCATTGACGAGCGCCGATTAGCGAATAGAGTTATGTGTGTTCGTGTGCCTCGCGCCTGATCGATTGGACAAATACGAAAAAGTGAGGAGAAAGGCCCTCTTCTCTCTTTTACGCGAGATATCTTACTATTTGCGGAGATCTCGGTGAGGGAGGCGTCTCGCTTCGACGAATTTATGATCGAAATAGATGAGCGAGATAATGGCTTCAACGAGACGTAACGTAAGCACTTGCAAGAATATCATAAAATTTATTTCTATTTTTTTTTTTCTATAATATATTACATATATAAATATAAATATTTTTATCTTATCTCATAAACAGCGTTGTTACTTGATAAAAACTGTATTATTTGGTAAAAAATGTTTACTTGAAATGAGCGGATGTTCGATAATAAATGTTACGAAACACGTAATGATATCGACAGTCGTGCTATCGTTTGTATTTTTGATAGTTAATAACATTAACTTACTTTAAATCTTTATAGTATAATGTGAAAATTCGATGGTATCTAATTAATATTAAAATTATACCTGCATTTATACGTAAATCAACATTTGCGTTAACATGAGAGCTACATCGATACCGTTAGGCGATCGTAGTTTCTTCGTGTAAAAGTAAAAACCGAAATAGCTTGATGAATATTCATCTGAATAGCAGACAAGTTGTATACAAGTTTTGAAAACTGTGGGTTAGGACCGGTCCTTAAAATTTAAAAGGTTATCGTAAGTTTTCTAATTTATGTATTCACGATTAGCTTAGAACTGCTTATCAAGCAGGGAAGACTTGATAAATTTCATACAAGTGTATAACTCACATTTAGAATTTGATATAGTTGAAAAAAGGGAAGTGATAAAAATACTCGAAATACTCGCGAAATATTAATACAAAATGTATGTGTAAATCTAATAAAAAAATATAAAATAACACGATAGGATTAAGTGTATATATTAAAATTTAAAGATCCCACAGAAGTTTTGAAGAAATTTGAAAATATCATAACATGATAGTTGTAACATCTGGATTGCTATTTATAATTCGCGATATTTCTGCAAACTAATATATTTGTCATTAGAAAAAAATAATAACAATCCTAATAAAAATTATTACAAGCTTATTATTTAAATTTTAATTGTGATTTGTATAGTGCATTTCAATCATCAGCGAGAATTTCGCAATTTCCGTTCATTCTTGCCCGTAGTCAATTAACGTCTAAATAATTTTATTTTTCGATTATTTGTACCTTCCATCCTCTTTGCTCTGTTCTCGATTTTGATTTATATAAAAATATTTTGTTGAACGGGCCGTGTTATTTGTTATTTTTTAAAACAACGAGCGCGCTTTATATATAAAAATTCACGCAATTATTTAAAATATCTTTTACACGACTTTTATGATTATAATGCTGCCGGCAATGTGTTTTCAATATTATGTAACATACGTACGTATAACTCGCGTTTATACATATATTAGTTCGGATTGTGAATTTTATTTTAAGAAATGTCGCGACTTTTTTTTCCATCGCGTTTGTGGCGCGTCTTTGAAGACACTTCGGTGTGTGCCCCTATTGTGCTCTAGAATATCGTTGGAGTGTTAACCTTGGCCTCCCTCGCCATTTTTATCGTATCCATGCGGCCTGCAAAACGCCGTGCTCTACGTACGTGCTTCTAGGCTTATCTTACTTGTAATACCGTGCTTGAGCAACGTGTTAGAGCCCAGGCGTTAGCTGAGTAAATATTAGTTATAGAAACGAACGTATATTAACTACATTATGAGCTAGCGGATCAATACACTCGTGAAAACGTGTTGCTAATTACGTCTCTACATCTCGCGATAAAATACGGTTCTAAAACTTACATTCAATAACTAATTAAATCTAATATTCAAGTTCAAATATTTAAGTTTGAAAATTACAAAACGATATCGCTATTATATATATATATATACCTCGCGATAATTTTATGCTGCCGATTAGTATTATACTCAGCATATTTTTAAATTTTTGCAATTTTTTAAAATTTGCGCCTCTAATTTTTGTCAATTGAATAGTTAATCGGTATAAAAAATAATTAACTAATTTAAACAAAATGTTACTTGATTACTCGTTATATTCCGAATTATGTAAATTTATAATATATTTTACAGTTTTATCTTGTTTAATCAATGACATGTTTTCTTTTACCATTGAAGTTCATCGTCGCTTTGATTACTCTATTATCTCCGTTACTTCGATAGCGGTGCGAATTCTGTGAAAAAATAGCATGACTACACATTTTTGCTTTTATTAACAATTTTATAAATAATCTTATTAAATCAGTTACTTCGATATCAGAGATCGTCTCCGTTTAAATCATTTGCGTTTGGAAGCAATCTTTAAATAACTCAAATTTTGACATCTAATTATATCTACACTAAATTATCGAGTGCATTTTCATACGTATAAAATATGTATTTTCTGTCTGTACCGCTAGAAGACTTTAACCTTAACACGAAGGTTATCTATCGCGCTCCGATTCCGTCCGAGAAACGTCAGAGAACTAAACTGATACTTTTACTATTGCGCTAAAACAGTGGGGATAAAAACGTATCTATTTGGAGACGGCGTTATTACAACAGTAGTGATACGACCTAATTTCTGTTTATTTTGAAATTCAATTTTTAAGATTAAGAAAGTAGGTTTAAGATTAAGAAATGTTAAGAGAAATGTTGATGATGAAAAAATTCAAGACATCTGTGCTATACGTAAAATATTCACTTTAATATCTCTTAAAATATGTATATGTGAGTTCTTATTATTAGTTTGTAACGTTACACTTTGTGACTGATATTTATTTATAAATACGATTACAAATGTTATGTGAAATTTTCTTTCAAAATTTACGATTTAATTCTTTGCAATACAAAGCATCATAAGAGAAAGAACAAAATAACATTATGTAAAATGATTTAATCAGTTAGAATTTAGTGATTTTTCAATGTACGTTAAATTAACGATATATATTTTCTCTCATATTATGCCTATATAAATGCCAATATTTACGTAACACTATTCAGTTACAAAATAAATTTTTGTCAGTAAATGAAAAATGTATAAAATTAATTATGTATGTATGTGTGTGTGTGTGTGTGTGTCTTTTTACTTGATGAATAACTTTTCGCAGGCTTAACCAATTTCGTGACTATAATACGCATGAATTTGAGTCGTGGAAAAAGCGTTGGTGAGGGAGAGCAGGTCCGTTTTGCGCGTACGATAATAAGACAAAATCGAAAGAGAGAGGAGTGAGTAAAGCTGATAATGAGGTTCCATAAAATCGGGCCGCTTCTTTTCGTGGCCCCTTCTCCTACCTTGTCAGGAGATACCGTCGTACTTGTTAGGTAGCTTTCACACGAGAACCTGGCGGTCGTATTATCGGTCCTGATGAATCACTCATTTCCGCTTCGTAATAATAATGGTAGGCATGCGCGCATTTGGTAATCAAGGAGAGCGCGATTAAATCTGCATACAGGATTAAATAAATATTTAAATTAATTATTTTTTCTAGAAAAATCTTTTATTGTTTCGCATAAAATCGCGCTGTTAAAAAGAACAATATAAAAATAGAGAAAAATGTGTGAAGTTTTTTTGATATAAAATGTCGTTAGTAGAAAAAATCAG